GCAAACACCACGTGACTAGTCCATGTGCTCGTCTTGTGCTCATGTTCTACTCCGTGAGGCTTTCCACGCCCCTGAGAGTCGGTCTCAGAAACCCACAGGGCACTTCTGCCCTGTCTCAGACGATCACTAGGAGTTGAAATCAACTCAATGGCAATGAGTTTTGTTTTGCTTTTTCTCCCCACTATTACTCTGTCATGAAATTGTTAGGTACTGTCAATTCCAAACTCCAGTGTCCCTATGTACAGCAAAATGAAATTCTGTCTGGATCTGCACCTTCCTCCAAATTGTTATGTTTGAGTCCATGGTCGCAGCCCTTTTTTCAGTCCATACCAGTGAGAGCATTGAGAGTCGTCCTCTTTTTCTCTGCCCCTTGCCTTTATCAAGCACGATGTCCTTCTCCAAGGACTGTCTCTCTGAATGCCACGTCCAGTACACGAGACAAAGCCTGGCCATCCTCACTTCCAAGGAGCACTTCTTCCAAGACAGATTTGCTTCTCCAGCACCTTTTCCTGTTCTACAGTTTTCAACACAATGTATAATTTCCTATGTTTTTTACATAAATGTATTTGTTTATCCTGATGAAACTAATTCCAATGAGTACTAGGAGATATTTGAAGGGACATGACTATTCATATTCTATTCTATTCACACTATATTTTAATTCTAATTAATTGAAACATTGATAGAATACAATTAATAAGCTTCATAAGTGAAGACCTATACGATTTTAATCAGGGTAGTAATTTTTAATTTTTTTATTGAGAATTGGTCAAAGGTTTACAGAGCAAATCAATTAAAAAATTATTTTATTGGGGGCTCGTACAATTTCTTATCACAGTCCATACATACATCCATTGTGTCAAGCACATCTGTACATTTGTTGCCCTCATCATTCTCAAAACATTTGCCTTCTACTTTAGCCCTTAATATCAGCTGCTCATTTCCCCCCCTCCCTCCCCACTCCCTCCTCCCTCATGAACCCTTCATAATTCATAAATTATTATAGTTTTGTCATAAGTTATACTGTCCGACATCTCCCTCCGCCCTCTTCTCTGCTGTCCATCCCCCAGGGAGGAGGTTATACTTAGATTCTTGTAATTGGTTCCCCCCTTCAACTCCACATTCCCTTCACCCTCCAGGCATCGCCCCTCTCACCACTGGTCCTGAAGGAGTCACCTATCCTGGATTCCCTGTGTTTCCAGTTGCTATTTGTACAATGTACATCCTCTGGGCTAGCCAGATTTGCAAGGCAGAATTGGGATCATGATAGTGGGGGGAGGGCATTTAAGAACTAGAGGAAAGTTATATGTTTCATTGTTGCTACCCTGCACCCTGGCAGATCAATTTTTTATTCAACAATTCATGCTCATTTTGTTTCATGTCATTGATTGTAATCCCCGCAATATATTATCATGTTATCACTTCTACCCTATGCCCTCTGTTTCCATTCCCCCTCATTTTCTGACCTTTCCTGACTTCTGAACTTTGTCCTGGGTAAATTCTGCCCTTTTTTTTAGTTTTGTTTTCCAAAACCATTGAGAGCGCTTACAGATATACCATTTCCATAGTTCAAGCACACCAAGCAGTGCAATTGCTATTACAACCAGTTTCAGAGAATTTCCTTCCTTCCTGAACCCCTTGATATCATTTCCTCTTTACCTTCTCCCCCCCAAATTCACCCTTTTGATCTTAAATGGTTGATTATTCCAAGAAGTACACATCTCCTTAGTGCCCTTGCTCTTCTTAAAGCCCCTCTACATTGTTTGGCTGAAAATTGAACCACTAGGGTGAATTCCATTTCAGGGATAAAGGGTCATTAAGGACCATGGCATTGGGGGTTCCAACAGCCTCCATCTGACCAGAAGGCCTGGGTGCTTTTTACAAGTTTGGGTCTACATTTTTCTCCCACTCTATTCAGATCCTTTTACTGTGCTCCCTTTGAGAGAATTTGGTAGTGGTAGCTGGGCACCCTCCGGTTCTTCTGATCACCCAAACATGGAGGCTGAGTCTTCTTTGAACAAATTGTTTTCAAGTATCATTGATTCTCTTCACGTTTTTTTGCTCCTTATGGGAAAACACCAATAATGGCACCTAACGCCAGGTTGCTGAAAAGCATTAAAAACTCTAGACATAACCGTAGAACATCTTCTTTGTGGACTATGTTGTGCCAATTGACTTGATGTCCCCCAAGACTATAGTCCTGAGCTCCCAAGCCCAGCCATTCATTCCCTCAAGATGTTTGGTTCTGGCTAAGAAGTTTTTATAATCTTGCCTCCCATGCCTATATTATATTCATAGGTATATTGGGAGCATATATAAATACCAACGAGGAACGAAAAGGAGCCCGATGGGGCGGTGTGTTATGCATTGGGTTGCTAAGCACACATCAGCACTTCAAACCCACTAGCTGCTCCAAGGGAGAAAGAAGAGGCCGAGTCTGTCTGATCCTGTATTAGAAATCCTAATGAGCGACCGTACTCCATCCTATAGTTGGCATGTAGAAATAGCCTCTCTCAAACCTATGTATGTTTTAGGTATAATCCCATTCTCCTTCCCACACCTGTTCAGTATCCACTGGTCTATTATTATTATTACTGTTATTGTAGGATAGTGTACATAGCAGTTACCTTTAACTCTTAACTCTTGTACTCTTCCCAGAGTCTCCCATTATCTTGGTTATTTGGAGAGTCGCTTATTGTAATTACAGTTTTAGAAAGAGAGTAATATAAAGGGTCAATTAGAAGAGAGATCAGAATTAGAGTTAGCTATCTGAATATCCTCTCTTTGATTCTGAATTTTCATTTTTAAAAAAAAAAGTGGAATGATTTTAGGTGATTTTTTTTATTTAAATGTCTAACTTTCTGGAATTATGTTCTATATTTTTAAGAGTCACCTCTCCAGTCTCTAGGACTGATATATTTAAATTCTGTCAGCTGTTAAATTCAGGCAACTCTCCTAGCAGGTGTTCCTCTCCTCTGTGGCTCTTCCCCATGAATCAGTGTCATAGGACTCACCTAAATCGTGTCACTTCAGCTTGCCTACCAAATCATGGAGGAGTTGAACACTGTGTGCCAATCATTTGAAGAATGCCTCTGGAATGACTGAATTTTAGAACTGGAAGATATTGCCCAGATCATTTAATAATCTGACGCTCTGATGTTAATGGAGTTGATGTTAGGGCTCTGACAGATGAATTGATTTGCCTTCCCTCCAAATAGCCTAATTTCCTAATCTGGTATTGCAAATCTTACCTTAAAAAGGCCCACAAAGAATTCTATGGTTTGCTAGTATGCTACCGAGATCTTAACACGGTGCTTTTATTTCATAAATCTACTATGTTCATTATATTAAAGATAACTCTTTCTACTCTGACCGTCTTTTCCTTTGCGTCTTCAAGTTAAGTCTCAAATTCTTTGAGTCATTCCCATCGCTTCTTAGGTGTCACAATCTCAGTATTCTTTCTTTTATCTTTTTATGTCTTGCTTTACCAACGGAGAAACTAATAGTGCATGTTGTCGTTAGCCACCATGGATTCAGCTCTGACATAACAGAAGACTACACTGCTCTGTTGTTAGGCAAACGCATGATCAGCTGTGATCCACAGATCACAGAACAGACCACCACGTCTTTCTTCCGGGTCCATTGTATCACATGAACATGTGAACCTCCACTGACAGATGGGGGTGGTTGTGGATCCAGTAACTGGGTAATTAAATCAAGTAAATTTCATATTTGCAAATCCATGAAATCTACTATGCCCATGGGTATGACAATCCAAAGATGGGTTAATACTTAACATAAATTTTTGTTCTATTTCTTGGAAAACCTACTCATAGATTTGATGGGTGTTATGAATAAAGAACATAGACATTTTTCAGGTACAATAAATGGGTACCCATCTTTCCCTAGCAACTGATAATGCTGTAGGCTATTGTTAAATATATAAAGATTTGCCCTGCACTATACTAGAATAAAAGGTCATCCTTGAGGGGTGGAGGGCTGAATGTTTTCTGGACTCTAGAATGTTTGGGGTATGAATGCCCAGTCGTTATAACTGACTTTGCCCACAGATACATAATCACTGTTGCCACTGCTTACCCATGACCTTGCTCTCTTCCTTGTTTCTGCCCAGTGCTATCAGAAGCTGATGACAGTCTAACTTGTCTGTTCAGACAGTGATGATCTTTGACCTGCTCCTAAGTTGGGGTCTTGAAATATATCCTCAAAATGATCAATATGCTGAAAATGCTGTCCCTAATCACTCTTGTGGGACAAAGACAAGGCTTTCTACTCCAGGAAAGAGTTACAGTCTTGCAACGGTACAACTCTTCTTGATGTGACCTACCGAATTGTATGATATGTGAATTATATGCCAATAAAACTGCTGGGGAAACATATAAAAGAGTGACAGTCTTGGAAGCCCACGGGGGCAGTTCAACCCTGTCCTATAGGGTCGCTATGAGCCAGAATTTAGTTTGGTTTTAGCCACTCTTTTGACACAACCACACCCAAGCCATTCCAAGCGGATGAACCTCCATCCTGTTTTAATAGGCGCAGGGAAGAGATTCCATAACCTTTCATCATCCTTTGTTGGGCACTCACTGCGGGGGACGTCCATCCCTCCCTGCTGTATGCTGACACCCTGGCGTTGAAGCCCATCGCCTCCCGAGCGCTGAGACTCAGCAGAGCAGTCCCGAGCACGACCCTCAGCCCCGAGGCCAGGAAGGTCAGGGTTCCCGGGGCGCCCTGGCTGCCCAGGTGAGCCGAGGTGAGGCCGCGCGCCGCGTGGTGAGGGGAGGGTTGGGCTACGCCGCTCTCGCGAGAGCTGGCAAGACACGGGTGGCCGGGGCGGGGGCGGGGGCGGGGGCGCGGGCCGCGCGGGGCGGGCCGGAGCAGCGGCGCGGCAGTCGCGGCGCGTCCTCGGAGGAGCTGGCCGGCCGCGCGCTCTCCGCCCCCGTCCCTTCTCCCGCGGAGAGATTCGAGCCCCGCGCTCCCACTTCCGCCCCCTCGGCCGGCCATCGGAACTCGCCCGGGCTGACGAGTTGCCGCCGCGGAAGAGCCCACGCACCTCTCCTCCTCCTCCCTCAGCTGCCCGACCGCCCTCGCCCCGGGCACCGCCGCCCCGAGGCCTCGCCGCCGCCGACATGAGCTTCTTGTTGTAAGTAGGCAGGCCCGCGCCCGGCTTTGTTCGAGCGCGACCCCGCCGCCAGCGCCGGTGCCGGGGAGCCCGCCCGCCCGGCTCGTCGCCGGCAACCTGCGGACCGTCTCTTGGAGGGCGGCCTTCTCCCTGGACCCCGAGGTCCTGACACACCCCGCTGGCGGCACCCCGGTTTCTCCCTCGCCCGACCTTCCTTCCTTTCGTTCGTATCCCGGGGTTGGTGGTGTGTACGCTCTCCCTCGTTACCTCCCACTCTGCCGCGTGACTCGCTCCCACCGCGTGCGGGGCCGCTTGCCCGCCTCCTGCCCGCTCGTTCTTGATGGATTGACCGACTGATTTATTGCGCTGGTTCCCTGGCCCCGGTGACAAAGCGCCGTGCTCTCACGAGCACTGCGCTGCCCCATCGCCCGTCCGAGCGGTAGTCAAGTGCTCGCCTGCGAACTGCAGGCGCTGCTGCTGGGACTTCGTCTATCTGCTCCTGGACACATTGCAGCCTCGGAAAACCCAAGCGGCAGTTCGACTCCGCCCTCGAGGGTCACTCTGAGTCCGAATGGACGCACTGCTAATGAGTTGGGTTTGGTGGGTCGTAGGCCGCGCAGTTGGGGTGACCACTTTGGAGGCAATGCCGACAGGAGGTGGCAGCTTGGTTCTGGAGGACAAGGGTCTGCAGCAGCTTTTTGCTTTCCCGAGAGACTCCTTTCTCTCATCGTGGTTTCCCTGAGACGTAGGGGCTTTTATCTTTTTAGACAACCACCAAATAAGGGTCTGAGTAGCGGGCACTGGGCTGATTAGGTTGACAGGGGAGTTGTTTTGCAAAGTCATTTGTCAATGCCAATTTTAGTAGCACATTTCTTGCATGTCATTCTTTCACTTATCATTTATTCCAGACCCATTTGAGAGGGGAAGGGTGGGGAGATGGGATGGCCAGATGGAGTTAGTTATTGGAATAAGGAGGCAAAGGACCTTCCCTCCAGTCACCCTAAAACGGGAGCTTACACTCTGATGATTCCACTTTCGAAAGCTTCTTCGAGTTTCCCACGAAATTTAGTCCATGGTTAGAAAAAGTTCATTAAAAAGTGGAGGAATTTTCTTTGAGAATTGTGGAGAAAAACAGCGTTTAAGGACAGGTTTCTTTTCTGTTCTCCACCTGCCTTCATGAGAAAAATGGCCTTTGAAGACTGCTTTCTGTTCTGTCTTCCCCCTTCCACATCCTTGAATACTTAGTTATCAAATTGGTATCTGAATCTGAACACTTTAATATTCACACATCTAGAATGTAAATTCTTTTCACGGCATTCAAGCAAAATTGAGCTGTCATAAGAAGGCAGACCTCCAGGACTTGCTAGTATTTTTCGTAAGCACGGGACCTGGTTGGTATCAACTTGCCTATAGTGTTTGATTTTTGTGAAACCCTTTTGTTAGGCTCGTCTAGAAGTGGACTCCGAGTTTGCCAAATTGAAATCATGAAATGAGAAGGCTGTGTAACTTTAAAGACGTCTTTATTTACAGTTTTAATGTGAATTAACATAAACAGGCATCTGTACTTGAAGCGTGAGTACAATCCTATAATGCTGATGTTTGATGCTTTCAAGAGTGTAAAGGCTGTGCTGGAAATAGTGATGTAGATGATTGTGGTGGCTGTTGATGTGGTTGGGTTGGGTCTCTTGGAATTCATAAACTAAATTGGTCCAACTAGGGAAGGAATTATATTTGGCCGAAACTAGGGGGTGGAGAAGTCCCTCATACTATTTTATGAATACCAATACAATAAGAGCCAATTTTTCAAGGTTTAATAGGAAGGAGCTCCTGTGGGCTATTAACTGCAAGGTCAGCAGTTCAAAACCACCAACTGCTCTTTGGGAGGAAGACGGGTCTTTCTACTCTAGTGAAGAGTTAGTTTCAGAAACTCACAGATGCAGTTCTACTCTGCCCAGTGGGCCTGCTCTGATTTGGCTCTGACTTGATGGTAGTGTGCTTGGAGTTTTTTGGTAGTGTTTAATAGATTCAGGGTGGGGGCGGAAGGGGACAAAGAGTTGATATCAAGGAGTTCAAGAAGCAAGAATGTTTTGAAACTGATTTTAGTAGCAATTGTACAATACTGCTTGAGTTTATGTAACTGTGGAATGTTAGGATATCTGTAAGCACTGCCAATAAAAGAATTAATTTAAAAAAACTGAAAAATACCAGAATAGATACAGAGACCTACAGAGAGAGGGGAGACAGACATTGGAAAAGGAGCCATGTACAGGCAAGGAAGCCAAGGAATGCTGGTAAACATAAGAAACCAAGGGAGAAGTTCCTAGAAGGAATCCACACAGCCAAAGCCCTGGTTTGGATTTTTCACCTCCATGACTTTGAGAAAATGAAAATAAATCCCTGAAGGAAAAAAAAAATTCAGAAATGCTGCTTATAAGTTCTCCTATTTCCTGAAGCATATTAACCAAACTCTTGTCATCGGTTCAATTATGACTCATGGTGACCTTATTAGCAACTTTAAAATCTTGCCTAATGGGTGTATATATAGTACTTCATAGGGTTTGCACTCTTTAGGGCACAATTTTACAATCAGCTCTCATATAGCTTTTAGAATATTCCTAACATACTTAGCCTATCTGCTAGACAATCCCCCAAATTGATCAGACATTATTAGTTACATTCCTGTTGGACATAATTCAGGAAAGTTTTGGTTATTTCTTCTCTTTGTTTTCTGGTATAATTTCCTGAGTACTATTTTTATACTACAAGGTGAGCAGAGAAAGGAAGGATTACAGCTTAGGAGTTATCAAACTTTTATTAAAATATTAATAAAAATATTTCTCCCTAGGTTTTGGAAGTGGTTGGAGCAGAGGAAATAGGTGACTGTGGGAGATAGGGTTCAGAAGATGGTGACTCCTGAAGGCTTGTAAGATAGAAGGGAAGAAGCTACAAAAATTATTCATTTTGCCAGCATTGGTTTAGGCACTCAACTCACTGTCATCAAATTGATTCCGATTCAGAGCGATCCTACAGGACGATGTAGAGCTGCCCCTTGGCTTTCCAAGACTTTAAATCTGTGTGGGAGAAAGCCCATATTTCTACCTCACCATGGCTGCTATGTGCTAGCCTCTGGCCTTATGGTTAGCAGCTGAGTGTGTAGCTCACTACACATGGGGATCTATGTATTGAGTATCATTAATGCTCCTTGTCATTAATGAATCAAATAGACAAAAACTCCTGCCTTGGTGAAGCTTAGGTTTTATTTAGTAAGCAACCATAAGCCATCAGTAAATGGTATGCGAGGGGCTTCAAAAACGTCGTGGAAACATTCCATTGTCTTTTAATTACATTTTCCAACAACTGTCTGAAGTTGTATGAATAGGGCTCGTGGCTAGGGAAGACGGGCTTGCTTGGAATGGTGTCAGGAGCAGGGCCTACATAGTTTGCTTGACTCTGCCTCTCAAGGAGACTGGGCTTCTCTCCTGCTGTCTCAGAGAATGCTGTGTGCCCAGAGGCAGCCACTGCAGGTGCAAGCTTGCAGCTCCCAGGCTCAGGGTGCCCGTGGAACACCAGGACAGCTTGTGTGGGGGCTTACTCTGATACACATATTTACTGTATCTGATGTGTTCGTCACATAACATCTGAATCACATAATGTCATGTTTCACAGGAAGCATCCTTGGCCATGAAGGGACGCACACCCTAGCGTGGTGAGAACATTGATAGTGGCGTCAGTTTGATGCATGGCAACTCCATGTGTGTCAGTAGAACTGTGTGCTCTCTGGGCTTTTGGCTGGCTGATTTTGGGAGGAAGTAGATGACCAGGTTTCCTTCTAAGGAACCTCTAAGGGTCGACTTCGACCTCCAACATTTAGTTAGCAGCTCTGCATACTAAGTTGGCACCAAGCAGCAACTCCTTATTGAAGGACACAAGCCATGGGACAAAAAGAGCTGGGCTGAGGAGGTCTTGGGTAGGGAGTGGAGGTGTCCTGGGGAACCCCAGAGGGTATTCAGATACCCTGGAGCAGTGACACCTTTGTGTAGCTTTTGTACAAATGTTCAGAGTAAGTTGGCACCACATAAGCTGCTGTAGCTGGGACAAAGCAAGGGACTGCTGTGTATTTTCAAATTAAGCTAAATTCTCGGAGGGTAGATACAGAAAATTTGAACTTAATTTATCTTTGTAGACTTAAATCTCTAAACACTTTATTAGTGCCTGCTGTGTGTCATGCATTTTTTAAAATGTGAGACTCTGGGGATTTTAGATAAAACACCGTATCTAGCCTCATAATGTTTGATGAAGAAAGTATATGAATATCAAACCCACTACCATTGAGTCAAGTCCAAATCATAGCAATCCTATAAGGCACAGTTGAACTGCTGCTTGCTGTTTCTGAGACTGTATATCTGTAGAAAGTCTCATCTTTCTCCCTCAAAAGTCGTTGGTGAGTTTGAACCTTACACTTAGCAACCCAGCATTTATCCCACAGTGTCACCAGGGCTCCATAGTATATGAATAAACATCTATAATTCATGCACCATAATCACATGGGTTCCAAAGTATAAGGAACAGTTTGTTCTGTTTGCCTACAATAAGGTTACATCAAAGTGGGTGGTATTTCATGGAAGGTGAGCATGAGTTCTCTACAAGGGCAAAGAGGAACTCATAAACATTTGGAGGCCTGAAGTTGCCTGTTAAATGTTTATCATTGGGTTCTTGTAAGAAGCTGTGAAATCATGGAGCTAGATGGGATCTCTCATTAACATAGCCAATTTGCCTCTTATTGCAGAAGAGGCTTAATCACCAGCTCCAGGTTGCTGCCTAATTATCAGTCTGTCCAGAATTAGAATTCAGGTGTTTTGGCTCAGTATTGTTCTTCTCTTGACATTTAAGGGGAGAGGGGCTTGGTGGTATAGTGGTTTACTTGTTGAGGTGCTAACCACAAGGTTAGCAATTCAAAACCACCAGCTTCTAGGGAGAAAGATAGGCTTTCTACTCCTTAAAAGACAGGGGCAGTTCTGTCC